TTTAAATTTTATTTTTACACCGCCACTTTTCCCTCAGTTCGCATGCCACAACAATGAAGTCTGGGAAAAAATTGCAAAAATAGCTGCAATAAAATATTTTGTTTATTATAGTTTAAATTATAAAACAATAACTTTTATTTTACTGTTAAGTTGTCGCTCCAAGGCACCGCATTACAGGTGTGGACTGAAGGTCGAAGCTGTTGGAGCGCTGATAACAAACGTGCGCGGAATGAATTTATTAAAGATTTCTTTTTTTCTAGGAACTTCACTTGGTGGATTGTTTTTTTTTTATTTAATTTTTTTTTTTTTTTGCTGAGAGCAGAATATTTTATACTTAAAATATGCTCGACATGATTTTATAAGTTTATTATATTTAAATAAAAACTAAATGTAACATATTTTACAATATTCAGATAGGCACGTTTAGATTTTAATAAAAAAACCACAATGAATCAGAGTAGAAAGCATGTCTTGGATTATGGTATATTTTCCCTATATAGTACTTTTTATCACCACTGTCGAGGAAGTAAAATATAAGTTATGTGAAAAGTAAAAAACTGCTTTAAATATAAAAACTAAAATTGTGTTTATATTGATATTAGTCTTTTTACTAAATCATATATGAATTATAAATACATATAAATTAATTTCCATTAAATCAGATACTATTTATTATTATTGAGCCCCAAGTCAAAAAGGTAAAATTTAGCCCACAGCAATCACGAGCTTTATAAACAGTTTATAATATCTTTAGTTAGTCTTCATGTGGTAATTAAGTCTACAGTGTCCTGTAAGAAGTTCAGTGTAGATTTTAATATCGTTTCTGCTAAGGCCAAGTATAGCATAAACTTTGATGTGATTAGCATCAATGAATCTTTTTAACTGTCGCATGCCGGTTTGGATTCTTCTGTGTTCACATAGATGTTGTTTCTCCCGTTCACATAATAAGCTATTTGTGAAACTATTTGTAGAAGGGCTCTGAACCAATGAATGGAGTACATGCACCTTTCTTTGCTAGGGAGTCTGCTATTTTATTGCCCTCATGCTCTTCGTGTCCTGGTACCCACATAAGAGTAACATAGTTCCTCGATGCTAGGGTGTTGAGAAGTTGAAAGCATTCCCAGACCAACTTTGATTGGAATAAGGATTTTGCTAAAGATAAATAGGATTTTGCTTAATAAATAGATAGTAATAAATTTTCAAAAGTTTATGATATCTTAGGTTATAGTAAGAAAATATAAAGTACTAAAATTAATTTTTTATCAAATGAATTTCTTTTCTGGTAATACAGCTGTTTCGGATATTCAATCTTCTTATTGCTTTTAATCTTAATAAACTTGATTATTGCATAATGTTCTTGTCTTTTAATTAAAATGTAAACACCTTGTTTTTAAGTAAATATTTAACACCGATTAAAATGTGGTATTTCATTAAAATCAGGAGAAAAAAATGATTGTACAAATTAGCATTACAAGTGCAAGACCTAAGCAATAAAAAAGATAATATAATTTTTTATATAATGTGCTCGTAAACTAAATACTTAAAAGATTGCAAAAAAAAAAACAAAAAAAAAATACCATAGAGAAGAAAAAATTTTACCACTTTTTTATTGCTTCATTTAACAGAAAAATGCAATTTTTCGGTGTGGTAAAACCAGTTAAAAGTATCTGAAAGATTGCTGCAAACTCAACTAAACTAACTGGCCAGCTAAGGAGGAAATCACAAAATAACGATCGTTTATTGTCGCGCGATCACATTTCACATTTAAAACTTAAGACAAAACTGAACGATATTTTACGATATTGTCTCAATCAACACGTAACCGAAGAAACAAAACACCGATTCGCACCCAGTGAAGCGAAAGAGTTAAGCACATAAAGTATCTATAAACACAACAAGAAAAAAACTTCAAGACAGACACAACAATTTAATAAGCCACAACAACTACAACAACAACTGAGGAAGAAAAACAAAACCTAAAAAAAAGCCTAAATATTTGCACAATTTCATGTTTTTTGCTTAATCATTAGTCACAATAAATGCAAACGAACTAATTTCAAACATAAAAATCTAAAATTCTTGCAATTCATTTACTAAAAAACCAGCTAGCAGCGCCATCTAGCGATGGCCGAACGCCCAGCTTCGTTCACTACACTCTGCAATAGAATCAGAGGAAGTGTTATTGTTATTAAAATGACAACAACACAAAAAAAAAAAACAAAAACACGAAGGAAAAATATCTGGAAAGATATTTCAGTGCAAGATTTTTAAAATTCTGTGTATGCAGCAGGTACACGGCTTGATAATTTATGGGAGTGAGTAAGAGGCTTGCAAGAAGAGAGCCACAAATAGAGCATAAATTTGTAAATGGATTAGTGGTAGGAATGAGCATAATACACGCACACATTGCTTAAGCAATATCTCTGGTGGAGTGCGAGAGTTTAAAAATTCTAATAAAGAACCAGATTTGGTTCTGGAGAATGTTTGAAAAGAGTGACAGACCAAGAGAGAGAAAAAGAGAGTGAGAGATCGTGGCATAAAATGAGCAACAGAAGTTCCCAGTAGAAAAAGTGGTCTTCGAAGACATTGTCTTCAAGACGGTCTTTGATACCGCGTCCGCATTTTCAAGCAAATTTGCAAAACAATTGCTCAAAACATGAATGTAAATACTCTTTCTTTGTTTTCTCTCTCATTTTTTGTAGTCATAGCAACGTATTTGAATTTTGTCTCAGATGACGCTTTGTTTTATAAATGAAGTGACGCAATAATTTTGAAGTGTAGTGAATAAACATTTGTGAAATAAATATTAAAAAAATCAAAATGAATAAAGAAACAAAATCATTAAACTATGAAATATTAAAAAAAAAGAAATTAAATAAAAACAAATTAAATAGTGACTTAGTTCCTGGAAATTATATTGATATTAAGAGATGTTGGCCGAAAACAATGTTCTATTAAAAAAAAATTTGGGGCTACATTTAGTGCAGTGGGCACAAAAATTTCCTCTTAAAACGTATGAGGAAATAATATTTATTAATGAGGAATTGCAAGGAGACCGAAAATTGGAAATTGTAAGTATTTAACAACAAATTTTTATTTAATATACTTATGAATATATATATTTTTAATTCATTAAGTATATCATTTAATATATACCTATATTATATTTATATTAACCTAAATTCTTTACTTTTATTTAGATTGAATCAATGAAGAAAATCTTGTCGGGGAATGTTGCGAACATTGAAGCCATCTTCAGCAAGAGCATAATTCTATCTCATAACTGCGGTGGGGTAAAAGGGAAAACGTCTTTGCGGGAGTATCCCTTTTTGCTGGATGCTATTTTTGGTAATTACTGAATTTATTTTACATTTACTTTTTAAAAATAACAATTCTTTTCAATTTACAGAATCGACAAGAAACGGAAAATCATTTAATGATTTTATAGGAGACCTGTGGAGTGCGCTAAGACTAGCAAAAAATCGATTAAATAAGCAAAACTTTCGGGCAAAAGGAAGAGAGATGACTTCAACAATTGATGATAGCGAAATGCTTTAAATTATTTTTTATTAGTTTTAGTTAATTTTAGATATTAGATGTTATATTAAGTTAATTATTTAAATTAATTTTCATTACGTTTACTAGTTTTTAAGTTTAATTTACTTTTAAAACTTTTAATTTTGAATGTAATATAAAAAATTATTATATAAAATAAATAAAAGTACAAAATACAACAATTTCTTTCTACTTATTTAAAGAGAAAATTGAAATTCATTTAAAATTTAAAGAGCGCAATAAAAGAGTAGAAATAAAAAAAAGGGTGAAAAAATTTTATGAGCACTGCACTAAGAGCGCACAACTTTCTGTCGAATGCGTCCGTTATGCAAGACATGGTCTTCGAGACGGTCTTCGAGACGTGTACGCAAAAATTCATTGAAGACATTTGGCTAATTTGTATGAAAGTGTCTTCGAAGACCGTCATACATTTGGATCGATCGGTCTTCATGTATGCATCCATGTCTTGAAGACGTCTTCGATGACGGATCGATCCGTTTTCTACTGGGTTTATATGTGTTAGTAGCCTGCGAATGTATTTTTTTGAAATGCTGCAGTATGAGTGAGAGTGCATTACCCCTACTTTTTTGTGTGAGCACTGTTCAGTGAATCTCTCTCTCAGTCTCACTCACTCCCTCTCTCAAGCGATCTACCTGCTGTTATTTCTAGTTCTGATCTTGTCAACTGATTTTTAACACTAACTGTGCGTTGCTTTGTATCTGCACTGATCGTTAGTGTCAACGTTGAGGCCATAAGAATTTTGTGCGCTGAAATCTTTTGAATTATGTGCAGTAGTAGGTTCAGCAGCAGCCGGAGCTGGAGCCGAAGCAGTAAAATGTATCTCAACAACAAAAGTGGATAAATTGTTGCTTTTATAAGAAAACAAAAAGAAAAAAGAAAAACAAAAAAAGGTTTAGGCAAGGGCTTAGCTACAAAATATATTTAATATGTTTAGAGAAATAACAAAATCGAGGCTGAGGAATATATCTTTTTTTTTTTCGTTCTTTTATTTTAAAGGAAACTTGTGGTTGTTTTTTTTTTTTGCTCTTTCTTTCACTACTAAAAAAACAAGTAAAATTTAAATGCTAAATTGTTTTTTTTTCCTTTCTAGATTATCTTTCTTTTCGTTCTATTAGTTTTATAGATATTTTGTAGCCCATTTTAACAATGAGGATTTTTGGCAATTAGAACCAAAAAATTGTTTATTTATTTTTTTTATATGCTTAAATATGTTTTCTCAGTTTGTGGATTTTAATAATAAATTTTAAAGCTGTCTAAATTTAGTGCTTGGCATATATCTTTCGAATATATATTATTTTCAATGTACTCGATTTCGATTATTCAAATGAATTCTTTCACTGAGCAGAACACTTAAAATATTTATATTTCACTGGAAAGGCAATCTGCAATTTTTTGACGGTAATTGTAGGCCAATAATTGCTGAGTTAATAGCCTATTAAATCATATACGACTACCTAACGAATTAAAAATAAATAAATATAAAAAAAAACAAAAAAAAAATAAATAAAAAATTCAGTTGAAAATAAAATTTTAGTAAAGCAGAAGCTGTAAAAATAAAATTAGAGACCAATTATTAAGCATGAGTTGACCGGTCTCTGTAGTCTTCATAGCCATAACTCAAAACGAGCGGTTCGAGTTGAAGATTTAATGGGTATTAGCAAAATGATGCGAAACGATTGTAGATGTTTTATAAACGTTTCTTAATTTTTAGCGGAAATTCTTTTTCAAGTTCAAGCTGAACTAAGTTCTATTAGTAACTAGCGGCTTTCTAGTAGCTTCAAAAAAAAATATTTCTCTAAGTTCCCATGTTATAAAATTCTACTATAATTAAAAGTGAAGAAGAAGAGTGTGAAACTATTTCAATGAAAAAGTTTATAGAAGCAAGTATTTAATTTATGGATGTATGACATTTTTTTAAACTTTATTACTATTAAACAACAAATAAACATTACCTTTCTCAAATAAGATCTTCAAAAGATGGAAACACACATTACTTTTGTGTAAGAAGAACTTTCAAAGATAGACCAAAATGAAAGTAAGCCGCTCTTGGTTGAACTGGTAAGTAAAATTAATAAAGTAAGATCTACAAATCGCATAATAGAGATACCCTAACTACTCTACCAATTAAAAAAAACTTGTAGAAAATGAAATATCTACAATCGTAATGATTGTAATTATGGTTAAT